ACATATATATGTTAAAGTTTAATAATCGGGCATAACATCAATAAAAAACATGAATTTCTTTCGAAAATTTAATTTAAATCCATACGTTTCGGTTATAATCCTAGCCTTCATTCAGTGGAAACTAAAAATAAAATTAAAAAAATTAGTCCATGGTATCAAGATATGGTAATGCACTACACTATGTATTATAAACATTAAACTTGTAATTACACAATATTTTCACAAAATACTAATTTAAAAAATCACAATTGGATAGTGTGTTGTTCGTAGTCTTTAACACTAAGATTAACTAATTTTTTTAATTTTATTTTTAGTTTCCACTGAATGAAGGCTAGGATTATAACCGAAACGTATGGATTTAAATTAAATTTTCGAAAGAAATTCATGTTTTTTTATTGATGTTATGCCCGATTATTAGACTTTGTTAATACATATGTCAACATCAAATTCAGAATCATACAATATATATATATATATATATATATATATATCAGAAAATTGTTTTTTATCAATTTGAAACCATTTGAGCCCTTGGGAGCAAGAAAATTCGAAAATGTCCATATTAAGGACCACCCTAATATATATATATATATATGTATATATATATATATATGTATATATATATATATATATATATATATATATATATATATTAGGATTGTCCTTAATATAGACATTTCTTGGCTCTTAGGGGCTCAAATACTTCCAAATGATTATCTGAAAGTTTTTTTAATAATAATGAGATAGTCAGTCAGCGCTCCAACCAAAGTTTCTTAGGAAAATAACATGTGTAAAATTTAATTTGTCTAAGAATTTTATAACTTAGCGACAAGTAAATGAAAATTTTGAGAATAACGTATTTGCTTATTTAGATCATAAATAAAAAAATTACAACAAAAATTTGAAATATTTTATAAAATAAGTATTCACTTAAGAAAAAGAACCAAAAAACTTTAGTTGGAGTGCGGACTATCTTAAAGTTAATATTAAAAGTTACAACTTTTAGAAATTTTCTTTTATCAATTTGGAATTATTTTTTATCGGTGAGATTTCTAGTTGCCATTACCTTTATACTTATATGTATTTATAAAAAAGTAGACAACTAAATTTTAAGCGTTTATTGTTAAATCGTCCATGATAATTATGGAATACAATTTTCTGCGGTATTTAGTATTAAGATGTATTCAATGAAAAAAATCTCGCTTTAAAAATCTGCAGTGGACTTTAAGCAAGGGATAACGTTTTCATCTGCCTCACTCGCTATGCGTCGGGTCGCTCGTTTTTATGTATGTTTGTGTGCGTTCGCAAATACTGTATTCTCAATACATTCGCGCATATCTCTCACATAAAGGCCCCGTTTGTATGTATTATGTTACGCAGATCTCTTATGGCGCCTGTGTTGGTACATTTTGGTACATGTGCGGAATGAAGCTGCGCCGTAGCCGGGTTGACGGGGTCCTCTACGATCAGTAGTCGATCGGCGATCGCCGCGTAGCATCAACCACATCGCCACCGCGTAGCACTGGCCGATCGCTACGGCTCGAAACCCGTACCATATAGAACACACACCACATACGTTAATGTTGGCATAAATACATTTCCAAAGAATTCATACACATTCTCAAAAAACCAACGTCTAAGATAATTATTTTATTTAATTTTTATTTTCAAAAAAATATATACTTGTGTCTACGTACGCGATTCGAGCCGGTATGTATTTGTCTATGAGTGACCGCTGTGCGAACGTGCTAAGTCACGAAAGATAGTTGCAAAAAAGAACAAAAGTGACAGTAGTAACACGACGGTATACGTCATGGATGATAAGAACGCGTGACGTTTGTTGTTCTAACGAACCTTCAACATAAACTTCGATTTTATTCCAAACAAAAACATAATTAGCGAATGTTTTCGTTAAATCGAAGTTTTAAGTTCTAGCGATAGTATCTTAGCATGATATAAATATAAATAATGTTTGATTACGTAAATTTGTATAAAATATAAACGTGTAGTTGTTTAATTCAGTGTGAATGTTTATGAAAAATTGTATAAACGTATAATAAAAAAAAGTTATATAAAAATGAGCAATAAAAATAAATAATATTAAATCTAATAATTAACTAGGATTTTAAAATAAATGAAATATCAATATGGAGAGGAAAAAGAAAGCAATACTATATTATATGATTGGGATTTTGTATCTCATCCTAATAGAAGGTAAGTTTTTTATTTGAATGCATTGATTTAATATTCCTATTTCGAGAGATTCTATCATTCTTGAAATCTTGAAATCCATGAATATAGAGATAATGCCTTGTATTAATAAATGAATAAAGCAAGAATAATACTTTGCAACGAGATAAACGAGATATAATCCACATAGATCATAACAAGATAGACATCATATCTAAGACAGAACATTATCAAATTTAAAAGCTCGTGAAATAATAATTTTGCTGGTGTGCTATTACATATGAAGTGAAATAAATTTTAATTCATATATTTATTAAATTCAATGTAATTTATATTTAACGTAAATAATCAACAAAATGATATATTTTCTCATTCATTTCATCAACAATGATTTTTTTTTTTTTAACTCAGTTTTATTTAGCAATCAGAAATACATAAAGATTCCTATGAGCTAAAATGACAATATTTTAAGAGCGATGCCTAAGAAGAACTCCAATGAGAACTTCTCAGTTTTACAATTATATGATATTATATTAGACCTAATCGAAGACTAAGTCTAACAATGAGATATATTTATATTTTTGTGTGTATATATACAGAAATATTCTGTCATGTTCTAAACGTCGTAATTGCTAACACAATACGACGATCTAAATTACCTTGGTAGATGTCAGAGAACACCATGCTATTGAGAAAAAGTAAATAAAAAATAGTTGCTAGTGTTGCGAAGAAAAAGTTGGTCTAAATAGTGACACGTGTTGGTTGAGAACGGTCTGCAGTAAAGGGAGATGAGTAACAAACTCTTACAAGTTTAGAAGAAAAAATGAAACAAGTTGATGGAGAAACTTTATACCGATAAATAAATTGCTTCGAAACAGTAAGGCTACCTTATGAACCGACTACTTTAAAAGTTGAATGGATTTACATGTTTTGCGAAAGAAAGATTATTGACGGCTTGTAAATTTAATAAAAAAAGAACAATATAGGCGCATGTATCAATTTACATATAAATCACAGTGGAAAAAGCATGATATCGAAACTAGATACTGGGAAATAATAAACACGTTGAAAAATAATAGTAGTAAATGTAATGAAATATGTGAAATATGTGAAATATTTTATAACTAAGCAAACATGTTGACTTATTTGGTTGTCATTTTATAAAAAATCTTTGTCTAATTATTCAAATTTAAACTTATATAAATGAGCTAGGGACTGGTTGACATCTAGTAAACACTTTTGTTTAAATTAATGTATGTATTATAGTAATGTATTTTGTTTTACTTAATGTATCTTTCCATGAAATAAAAACGGATAGTTGCCGTAATTATTCCTCTACCAAATCAAGTAGAAATAATTCCACAACTGTTGTTCATTATTTCACAATAAATCATTTTCTAGAAAAAATGCGTTTCAACTTACCCCGTGTTTGGGGCTAGTTGTACGTCTACCAAGTCTAGTAGTAACAACAACAAAATGGCAATAAAACATCTGTTCACGCCAAATTAGACGTGACAACGCTGCACTCATATTTTTCTAAGAAAATATTACATTTGCAACAACGCATAGGCAATTTGCATCTCAAGATCCAACTACAAAAGGGTCCTGCTAGATACCTGAAGGCGGCACTAACAATATAGTCTTAACCCGGTCGCCAAGCTATCCACATTCAAATATTCCAATATTATATCAATACTAAAACTTTATCACAAACAGTGTAAATTATATTCTATAAATAAATAAGTGTAAATCTATTTGTTATCAATCAATATTTACATTTAAAACGGTTGATAGAGCCACTAATTCTATCTGGTCCTTGAGCTTACAACTTCAACAAAAAAACATTGGTCCAAAACGAACCGGATGCGTCACCAGTGCGAAGAAAATAATTAAAATCTTAAATCTAAATCAAAAATTAAATAAAGTGAAAGTTCTAAACAAGACAGGAAGTTCTAACTTTGGCGCTACACCTACGAGCGAGCACAGCAAGCAGCGAGTATATCAGGTTAGTCAAGCATTCCTTCCTATCAATCTTTCCTTAATTTAATATTTAGAGTTTTAATTCAATCTGTGTCAAAATGGAATCATTAAATAAACTCAAAATGAAACAGCGAGTTACTAAAACACGTTTAACAAAATACGAAAAAGTGTGCAGGCAAATGTCGGAACTACCTGCTTGCGACTTAAATATTGCAGACATAAAACGCCTTATCGATGATGTGAAGCCTTTGTTTGAAATCTTTGAAAATACCGTAATTAGTATAACAGCATTACTAGAAGACGAAAGTCAAATTAATAATTTAATAGAAATAGAGTTAGATGAATTTTTTGAAAAACATAATGATTGTTTATCAACTTTACTTAAACTTAGTCAGGCAGCATCAAGTAAGTCGGATACTAGTTCGAATAGTAATTCTAATGACACTACTATAACAAATAATTCGAACAACATAAAACTACCTCAAATCAATTTACCTCAGTTTGACGGCTCTTACTTAAATTGGCTACAATTTTATGATTCGTTTTCTTCTTTAATTCATAATGATTGTAACATCGGTAATTCTCAAAAATTTTATTATTTAAAATCATGCGTAAAAGGAGAGGCGGCAAGCCTTATAGAATCCCTACCGGCAACTGCCGATAATTATATAATTGCATGGGATTTACTGAAAACGCGTTTCGAAAACAAGAAAATAATCGTAAACAATCACATTAAAAAATTATTTGATCACCCGCCAATGCATAACGAATCAGGTAAAGACCTTCGTAATCTAATAGATGCGTTTAATAAACATTTAAGATGCTTAAAAATGTTACAACAACCCGTCGATCAATGGGACGCGTTATTAAATTATCTTGTAATTTCTAAAATTGATAAGAAAACTCATCAAGAGTGGGAGATGTTAATGAATAAAGGCTCTGAACTAGTTACATTTTCCGAACTTAGCAATTTTTTAAATCAACGCTGCACAATATTAGAAGCAATTAATCCGACTGAAACAAGAATCGGAAACTCCAGTAAATTTAAAGATATAAAACCTAATTATGCAAAACATACCAAGTCTTACGCTACATCCACTAATCACAAAAATATTTGCCCAATTTGCAAAGAGCCATTTCATTCACCGTTCAAATGTCAAGGTTTTCGGACACTATCTCCAGAAGATAGAGTAAGCAAAGTAAATCAATTAAAACTATGCACGAATTGCTTACGTTACAATCACAACAGCGATCAATGTACTTCTTTAAATCGTTGTGCCTTTTGTAATTCAAATCATCATAGTCTTCTGCATATAGACTCAAGCCAATTACCAGCTGTTAATAATACACCACAAAATGTTTCGTGCCATACCGAAAATGATTCAAGTCAAATCATCTTATCTACAGCAGTAATTAATGTATTAGATAGCAATAATAGATATAGAGCATGTAGAGTATTATTAGATTCGGGATCACAATCCAATTTCATCACGGAGAAGTTTGCTAATGAGCTCGGTTTACTTAAACAATCAATAAATATGTCAGTCCGGGGAATAAATCAAAATTCAACGGAAATTAAGTCAAAAACAACAATTACTTTAAAATCGTGCATTAATAACTTTTCATTAGATCTATCCTGCTTTATCTTAAATAATATAACAAATAATTTGCCGACGGTATCATTCAATAAAAATATTTTAAATATCCCAAATTATATAAAATTAGCAGATCCCACATTTAATAAAAGCAATCAAATCAATATTTTAATAGGTTCGGAAATATTTTGGAATATATTTTGTAAAGGATATATTCATCTAGGAAAAAATAGACCTATTTTGCAAAATACACAATTCGGGTGGGTTATTGCTGGCAGCGTACCTCTCAACAATTCCAGTTCTTTTACGATATGTCATCATACGGCTAATTTAGAAAATCAAGTTCAAAAATTCTGGGAACTGGAAGCGTGTAGCGATATACAACATTTTACCGAATCTGAAAAACAATGCGAACAGCATTTTGTTGCCAATACAACGCGGGCAAACGACGGGAGATTTATAGTTAAAATTCCGTTTACAGACAATATAAAAAAAATAGGGAATAGTAAGCAAATCGCGTTTAAACGTTTTATTTCACTTGAAAACCGTTTACGAACAAACAAAAATCTATTTAACGAATACAAAAATTTCATGAATACTTATATAACACTAGGGCACATGAGCGAAGTCAACGAATCTTCCGAACCCGCGACGTGTTTCTATTTGCCTCATCACGGGGTGGTAAAACCAGACAGTTTAACAATGAAATTGCGTGTAGTGTTCGATGCATCTTGCAAAACCGATGCAGGCCTGTCGTTGAATGAACTACAACTTGTTGGACCCACAATTCAAAATAATATTTTTTCTATCATACTAAGATTCAGAAGACATGCGTTTGTACTTACAGCTGATATAGAAAAAATGTACAGACAAGTTTTGGTTCACGAAAACGACAGAAAAATGCAAAGAATATTCTGGAGGGACAATCCTAGCAGCAAATTAAAAATTTATCAATTAAATACAGTAACATACGGAACAGCATCTGCGCCGTTTTTAGCCATACGCTGTTTGGAGCAGTTAGCCAGAGAAAACATAACTAACTATACAAAGGAATGCGAAATTCTCAGAAATGATTTCTACGTTGACGATTTATTAACGGGAACTGATAACATATCCGAATTATTCACTATTAAAAATAACCTTTGTAATATTTTAAAACAAGCTAAATTCAATCTATATAATTTTAATTCTAATTATTCAAAACTTTTAAATGCAGATAATCCAACTTTAAACATCGGCGAACAAACTATCAAAACTTTAGGTATATCTTGGAATTCGGTAACAGACAGTTTTGAATTTGACTACAAAAATATAAGAATAAATCAAATAGTTAGTAAAAGATCCATTTTATCGGCAACAGCGCAAATGTATGATCCTATGGGCTTTTTATCTCCAATTATCGTCATACCAAAACTAATAATTCAAAGCCTATGGCGATTAAACTTATCATGGGACGAGCCCATTCCTTCGGAACTAGAAAATAAATGGAAACAGTTTTGTTTCGAAATAAAATCTATTAAAACCTTAAAAATTGAAAGACATATATTTTGTAATAATCGTATAAACACAGAATTACATGGCTTTGCTGACGCATCAGAGCAAGCTTACGGCGCGTGTATATATGTACGGTCTATTAACAAATATTCTGAAATCAAAATCAAACTAATAGCGGCAAGATCTCGAGTAGCACCATTAAAAAATATTACACTCCCCCGTCTCGAGCTTTGTGCGGCACAACTGCTAGCAAATCTTGCGCAAATAACTAAACATGCATTAAATATCGCGTTTGACAAAGAATTCTATTGGAGCGATTCCACAATTACTCTTTCGTGGATAAGATCTCCATCTTATAAATGGAAAACCTTCGTTGCCAATAGAGTTTCTGATATTCAAACAAAAACAGACGCAAATAACTGGCTACATGTCCGATCGGAAGACAATCCAGCGGACCTCATATCACGCGGGTGCTATACACATGATTTATTGAATTCATCCTTGTGGTGGGCAGGCCCATCTTGGCTACAAAATCTAACTGAAACACAGCGACGTGCAACTGACAATATCTTAATTCCTGAAACTGATGTCGAAAGTCAAATCACAAGTTTGACTTGTACAAAAATTAACAATAACGAACATTTTTTCTTATACTCTTCCCTTATTAAACTCGTGCGCGTAACTGCTTTTTGTTATCGATTTTTACAAAATTTAAAACTAAAGAAGAAAGAAAAAGAACTACTGTATGGCCCACTCACGGTCGATGAATTCAATAATTCACTAAACAAGTTAATAAAAATATCACAATATGAAATATTCAAACAAGACATAGATATAGTCGCGCGTGGGGAAGCATTACACAAATCGTCGAAATTAAAATCATTAACACCGTTTTTAGACAAAAATGGAATATTGCGCGTCGGCGGTAGGATAAAGAATTCAAATTTACCATATGATAAATGCCATCCGATAATACTACCAAAAAATCATCAATTGACTATTCTGATAACTAGGCATGAGCATTTAAAACTGTATCATTGCGGAGCACAGATGTTATTAAATGCGTTGCGTAATACTTATTGGCCTATCGGAGGCAGAAACCTGACAAGATCGATCGTGAAAAAATGCGATACATGTTTTAAGGTAAAACCTACATTTATTAATCCAATAATGGGCAATTTGCCTAAATATCGCGTTACACCGCAGTCACCTTTCTTTATATGCGGAGTAGATTACGGAGGTCCTATCTTATTAAGAGATCGTCAAACAAGAGGATACAAAAAATTTAAGGCTTACATATGTTTGTTCGTGTGCCTTGTTACAAAAGCAATACATATCGAATTAGTATCTGATTTAACTACGAATAGTTTTTTAGCCACTTTTAAACGATTTATGGCGCGACGCGGAAAACCTCGCGAAATCTATTCCGATAATGGAACAAATTTTATAGGCGCAGCATCAGGATTAAAGGAGCTTTATAAATTTTTACAACAAAAATCAAATCAAAATAAGATTGTTAATGATATGACCAACGAAGGCGTGTCATGGAAGCACATTCCACCAAACTTTCCTCATTTTGGAGGAATTTGGGAGGCGGGCATAAAGTCGTGCAAGGCTCATTTAAAGCGAGTATTGGGTAATGCTATTTTAACTTTTGAAGATTTTTATACGGTTTTGACACAGATCGAAGCAATATTAAACTCGAGACCAATCTCTCCCTTAAGCTCCGATCCCAATGACTATGATCCCTTAACTCCTGGTCACTTTCTTATTGGAAAATCCTTAACATCTGCTCCCGATCCATCCGTGCTTGAAACCCTTGATAACAGGCTTTCTCGGTATCAACGACTACAGAAACTTGTGCAACATTTTTGGAAGCGTTGGCACAAAGAATACGTATCGGAGCTGCAGACAAAAACAAAATGGCAAGTTCAACCATCGCAACCAGCTAAGGTAGGCGATATGGTAGTGGTCAGAGAAGACAATTTACCTCCACTACACTGGCGATTGGGGCGTATTCTTGACACACATCCAGGAGATGATGGACTTGTGCGTGTTGTGACAATCAAGACACAAAATGGTGTACTCAAACGTGCAATTAATCGAATTTGTGTATTACCAAAATCATAGACAATATAAATCAAACCAATAGACTGTTATTAACTCAAAGTGTTGAACTATAATTCTAATTTTGAAATCATATACCCTATATTATTTCAAGGGGGGGAGAATGTTCACGCCAAATTAGACGTGACAACGCTGCACTCATATTTTTCTAAGAAAATATTACATTTGCAACAACGCATAGGCAATTTGCATCTCAAGATCCAACTACAAAAGGGTCCTGCTAGATACCTGAAGGCGGCACTAACAATATAGTCTTAACCCGGTCGCCAAGCTATCCACATTCAAATATTCCAATATTATATCAATACTAAAACTTTATCACAAACAGTGTAAATTATATTCTATAAATAAATAAGTGTAAATCTATTTGTTATCAATCAATATTTACATTTAAAACGGTTGATAGAGCCACTAATTCTATCTGGTCCTTGAGCTTACAACTTCAACAAAAAACAACATCTGATAATTTATTCTCTACTTATTTTTAAGAAAGTTGGCTTGTTTCTAAGTAATTCTTTTCATAAATCTACTCAAACTATAATGAACACAATTAAAATGTATAATGCCTCTTATAATATAAATCAAGGTAAACCACAATTAGTATTGTAATATAGAGTCTCTTCTGCTACAATTTTCTTATGCCCACACCTTGCAAACTATACATTCCATTTAATTTTCTTCACTTAAATCAGTATATTATTTTTGTAAGGTACAACTAGTCCCAAGGTTCTGTTTCAACTAACTCCATATGTGATTTTTGTTTTAAAGTTTTACATTAATTTAAATAACTATTTATACAATTTAGCAATCAGAAAAATTGTTACACATTGATAGATAAGATTGATAGCAATTAATCGAAATGAAGTAAAACAAAATTAAAAATTAGTGTATAATAATAACGCAAACCGAAATTTTATGATATTTTATATTACCTATCAAAAATGACGGACCTGCAAATTTCTTTTTATTATGTTGGTCCGCGAGACAGTAGTTATGACAATATTATGCATGATAGTTTACACGTCCAATGAAGGCAAAAAATATATATTTTTATATCGTTAAAGATCTTATTGAAAAAAAAAATATATATATAATTAATAGTACTCTGTTTGAAGGCAGGGCTATGGTATGAGAGCACCACAAATCAATAAGTCCCTTTCCCTCCCTTGTTTATTAATCCCACTACTATTTTATTATCATTGTTAAATTTTTGCACTTTTATGATTTTTTCTTTCAAATTTTCTGCTTTCATACCCTCTGGTCCTGCGCTCCGGTTTTTGGTTTCATGTATTTTCTCTTCTTGCGTATTGAAGAAAAAAATACTTGCACCACTAAACTGTTACACTATGGTTAGATCCAACAAATTAATAACACAAAAATTGAGTAAAGAAATGAACTAAATTACTATTATAATTTAATACTAAAATATAATATAAAACGTTAACATTTTCAAACTACCATTAAGGATAAATCGGATATAGTTTGATCAATATGGATATCTATATGAAATTACTATCTCCATGGTATGTGAATTTAATGGAATTGTTTGATATGATTTTACACAAAAGCCATTACGCAAATGTCAATACAATAAAGTTTTGGGTATCGAATATTTGCGGTGCTTTGGGTCCGTTAAAGGTTGCCCAGGCTTTGGCGCAAGGCATTCTAAACAGTTCGGGTGAACCATTCATGTTATTGCATACCGCTCGCTGCATTTGTCGTGTCGAACGTTTCGGCTGCCGACACCCGACATACATTCTCAAGTCCTTAGAACACGACAAGATATTGTGCGAAACATCTTCTACTGCACATTGAAGATACAATACAACTTTCAAGGGGTTACATGGGTTTCACGGTTTCAAAAAATCGACTATTTTTTGTTTGTTTATTAAATTCTATAACGTCTCTAGAATATTGCCCTAAAAATTTCAAATTGATCCGACTAATAGTTTTGGAGATACAGTCTTGAAAAGGTGGATGCTCGAGGTCCACCTTTATTGCCTCTTAAAACTTTAAACGCGTTTTTCTCAAAACTATGTTTTCACAGACGGTTGTCAAGATTTCTCACAAACTAATCACCCGATCTTGATGAAATTTTACACAGGTCTTCGAAATATCATTTACAAAGTTTTGAACTAAAGGTTTCTTTTTTTTTCAAATTACAACTTTTAAAAAAAAATCGATAAATTTTTATCGAAATCTGCATTTTTTTATAAAAACGTTTGCCAAAAATCAAATATTGATTTTTTTGCTTTCCCTTCGTCCAATACCTAGTTTATTGTCTTAACTAAAACACGTATTTTTTATTTTTATTTTGGATGATCCTGAAAGAAATTCTGCTGACAACGCGGAGGCACCTTTTTTTCGAGGAACTGCCGGAAATCTCGTCGTAATGACCGCCATTTTAATTTTTTTTTTGAAAATTTTACAAAATGTTTATTAAGTATGTATCTTTTAAATTAAAAAAAAAATTATTAAAATATTTCATTTTATATACGTGAAATAATATTGAAAAAAGGCCGTTTTTGCCCGAGAAAACCCATGTAACCCCTTAATATCATGCAGAATGCTGCTAAATTGCTCATATTTTGTTTATCATAATTATTTTTAATATGTTCGAAGAGTAAGGCGCGACACAAAGTCCAATTTGACTTTCAGCAATTACATTGTGGTAACCAAACCAATTATATCAGAACAAATAACACATATCAAACAAACAACAATCTTGTGAATAGAAATGTGTTGTGAATAGAAATATGTTTTTTGCTGTTTTTTTTCAAAAATTTGTTATCTGGTCCTTTTTACCTCATAGGCAAGATATAATGAATAAAATAAGGTAAAATTGGCCAAGAGACAAACAGGTCCATAGTCTTATTTCTAATTTTAAAAGAATTTTACTAAATATTTGCTATATCAATCGATGCGAAATACAAATTTCATGGGTAATTTTTCTTTTTAAATGATAACCTCGATCTGGCATTTTATCAGAAATATTCATAAGCAGCGTTGAAATAACTATTTATTTATCACTTGCAAAATTGTATTTTCTAACTTTATTCACTTTTTGTTTTACTATTTTATATTGTTTATACTTTTACTAAGGTAAAGGTTAAGTTGGTTCTCTTAACCCTACCCACGTGTAAGCTTGTTAAATAGAGGTACAATAGAGTAGAATAGAGCTTAAATAAAAAAAATACCTGTTAAATCTAACTTAAAATTTGTATTGTTAATTTCATGAAACTCATGAAATAATTAAATAACGTATACCTAAAAATTATATTAAGGTATCGTGAACTAAACAACAGTGCTCACAACAAAAAAAAACTAAAAACGAAAAAAAAAGTTTTTTCTCTCTTCTTCCAAATAATGTTAAAAAGTTTTTAACTTCACTTGTTTTTAAGATATCGGTGGAGAACTTTTTTCTCGAGGTCCTTTAAGCCGCGTTCTACCTTACTTTTATACTTCATTAAGCCATATTTATTTTAACTTACACAATACAAAAGTGTTCAATTTCGAAATATCTGTCGTTCTAATCATTCATCATATTTTGTCATATAGGTAATTAATTAGCGTTACAAACTTTCCGTTACTCATTACATCAAACATCTATTTGATGTCACACAAAACAATTAAAAGTAAAAGGCAATATATAAAATCATTTGTACTCGTACGTACAATTAATGTCATGATCGAATATGACTTATGAATTGATATGTTGTTATCGATATCTACTTTTTCACTTTTAGTGCTTGAAAATGCATATTTTTTTAATAATATATTACACAAAAATAAAAATAGCATTATATGTAAAATTTGTTCTAGAAAGGAATGACTACCACTGATCACAATATATCATAATAATATTATGCGATACTAATTATAATGCGTTCATTCAATTTAGATTTAAATGCTGAAGAGACTTTATATGATGCACGAAATGTTATGACGATATATAAAACAAGGAATTATTACCAGATTTTATTGCACCAAATAAATCGTTCGTTAAAATTTTAGCATTATTACCAATCAGAGTTTATTATAAAGAAATTTCTTTTCTCATTTATTTAAAATAAAGACTAAATATAATATATAATATACAACCACTTATTAAAGAGGTTATTTAAATATTAAAATAAATATTAAATTTTGAACTGCTTCCATAGGAGAAATGTATCGTGGCTAGAGGGGTAAAATATCGTGGCGCAATATTCGAATCTTGTCTTTAGATGGACCGGGCAATATTTGTTTTCAAAATTATGGAAAATTTGGAAAATTCATCGGAAAAGTGTTTTATATGGTTTATTACAAATAATAAACATGTTTACCATCTGATTTACGCCTCTAATTTTATATTTACACGAATTATACATGATTTTTAAATGTGGGTTTCATGCATTTTTTTTCTGGGCGACCAAGATTCGTTTTTCAGTATTATCGAACTTGGGAAATACATGGTATTTATAAGGATCACGAAAAAAATTAACTTTAAATAATTAATTAGCCCCAAAATCATGATTAAGGCTTTTAAAAAGTCATATGTTCGATCGCAATTAATAGTTTGATACATTTTTCTTATAAATTCAATATAAATTTTAAATGTGGGTTTTATGCATTTTTTTTCTGGGCGTCCAAGATTTGTGTTTCTCCAGTATTATCGAACTTGGGAAATACATGGTATTTATAAGGGTCACGAAAAAAATTAACTTTAAATAATTAATTAGCACCAAAATCATGATTAAAGCTTTTAAAAAGACATATGCTCGATCGCAATTAATAGTTTGATACATATTTCTTTTAAACTCAATATAAATTTTAAATGTGGGGGTTATGCATTTTTTTTCTGGGCAACCACGATTCGTTTCTTTAGTATTATCGAACTTGGGAAATACATGGTATTTATAAGGGTCACGAAAAAAATTAACTTTAAATAATTAATTAGCCCCAAAATCATGATTAAGGCTTTTAAAAAGACATATGTTCGATCGCAATTAATAGTTTGATAC